GTTGGTTGTATCCAATCTATTCTTTGAAATAAACAACTCGCACACACTCCCTTTCCAAAAAAAATCAATACACCTAGCACTGCACTTAGATTTATTAGATTTGTTGCTAAAATATCGGTATCAAACCCGAAACTTCCGGCGGATGGCCAGTAAATGAAGCAAAGAAAAGAATCGGTTATATTTTTCATATGATCGCATCTCCTCTTATGGATAGACAAAATTTCTTTTTACGATTCCAAGTTTTTTTTATTTGTTTATGATAGTTTATTCTATAATCTAATTTTTTAATTATTTAATATGAATATATCAAATTAGTATATTTTTATTCTTACTAAAATGAGTATATTAGTAAGAATAAAAATATACTAAAATTGGTTAGTCAATTGAAAGAGTCCCTATAAGAATGATACTTCTTAGAAGGAAATACTAGTTCTTATGTCAATTGCAAAATACTTAGTTGGTTTCAACACTTTCTAAATCAAAATTAAGGGGTCAGTGGACTAAAAAAAGGGACGGAAGAAGGCGAATCAGTATGTTAATCCGAATGAAGAAAAAATTGTAGGAGTAAAATCTAAATAGAATGAAAAAAAAAGCAAGAGCAGCAACGAAAGTCCATGGAAAAAACAAGATGTATTTTTTTTATTAAACAAAAGGATTGGCAAATAAAAGAGCTAATGCTACAACCAGCCCATAAATAGTTAAAGCTTCCATAAAAGCCAGACTAAGTAATAAAGTACCCCGTATTTTGTCCTCTGCTTCCGGTTGTCTCGCAATCCCTTCTACAGCTTGCCCTGCAGCTGTGCCTTGACCAACTCCAGGTCCAATAGAAGCAAGCCCGACGGCCAACCCAGCAGCGATAACAGAAGCAGCAGCAATCAGTGGATTCATGATAAGTTTCTCCTATTCCAAAGAAAATAAAAAAATAGTTAATAATATAATCAACAAAAAATTTATGACTTAATTATTTCATTCTTCATATTTCTCTTTATCTAGTCGAAGTGTAATTCAAAATTTCAAACTTAATAATTTTTATTGAATTATCCCAATTACTTCGATATTCACTTTTTTCGTTTCTACCCTTGTAGTTTTTTGTGAATACATACAATTTTTGGTCTTATCTTACATTTTAAACTTTTTTTTTCTTTGATTTCATTTTTTTAGTCATTTTTTTATATTCAATTCAGAATTACAAGAGATGGAATCTTTTTTTTGAATCCCTACCTAAATTTAGAGTAGTAGCAGAACAAATTTAGATAGATCGTCATATATAACTAATGAATATCTACTATGACATATACATGTGTTTGTTCCATACCGTAAACCAATGAGTTGTATCTTAGATTCAATCAATCATTCTTGGAAATCCCCCAGCTGTCTTATAACGATTAGATTATATATACACCTAGTTTGACCCCCTCAACCTTTGTTAATTTATTTAATCTCTATTTTTTTTTTTACAATTCCCTGGTAATTGTTTTAATTTTCTTTCTACTTTTTGATTGTTATTAAACCTTTTTAAAATTTCTTTGTATTTTTTTATTAATATTCCTTAAGTATATTATCGCGAGCCACACATACTTTGTTGCGGGCTAAAACACGATTTTGATAACTAGTCAATGATGCCCTTCCATGGATTCACCTATATACGCCGCAGCTAAAGTAGCGAAAATAAGAGCTTGAATACCACTTGTAAATAATCCAAGGAACATAACAGGTATAGGAACTACTAAAGGTACTAACGAAACAAGAACAACAACTACTAATTCATCCGCTAATATATTTCCAAAAAGTCGAAAACTAAGCGATAAGGGTTTTGTGAAATCTTCTAAGATGTTAATCGGTAAAAGGATTGGCGTTGGTTGGATGTATTTACCAAAATAGGCCAATCCCTTTTTTGAAATACCCGCATAGAAATAGGCTACTGACGTAAGTAAAGCTAATGCAACAGTAGTATTTATATCATTTGTGGGTGCAGCTAACTCTCCATGAGGTAACTTTATAATTTTCCAAGGCAAAAGGGCCCCTGACCAATTCGAAACAAAAATAAATAGAAACAGAGTTCCAATAAACGGAACCCATGGACCATATTCTTCTCCAATCTGAGTTTTGCTCACGTCTCGAATGAATTCAAGGACATATTCAAAAAAATTCTGACCAGACGTGGGAATAGTTTGCGGATTTCTAACAACTAGAATGGTTGAAATTAATAAGATAGCAATTACAACCCAAGAGGTAATAAGTACTTGAGCATGCACTTGAAAATCCCCTATTTGCCAATAGAAATGTTGACCTACTTCCACAGCAGATATATCATAGAATCTGTTTAATGTGTTGATGTAACATAATAGAACATAAAATCCCCTATTTGCCAATAGAAATGATTGACCTACTTCCACAGCAGATATATTCATAGAATCTGTTTAATGTGTTGATGTAACATAATAGAACATTCATATTGCCCTGTCCTCTAAAATAAAAAAAATATACCTTGAAAGGGAATTATTTTGATTCAACCATTTCCTTATTTTACTTTGATTTTCTATTTTGAATACCTAACTAATCACAAAATATTTCTTTTTACACAATTTTGTTAATGCTATAATAACCAATTCCAAAAATCTATGACCGCCATGCGCCAACCAAATCAAAAATTGATTTATCTTATTATTAATCAATTTTTTTGTATATAGCTAGAACGACCCTCACAAATTGCAAAAACTAATTTGTTAAGAATTAATCCGATGGAAGCTATAGCATGCATCATTAGCCGGAATCGAAATATCTGCAAGATCTGGGTCAGAATTTGTATCAATTAAAGAAATCGTTGGAATTCCCAAAGTGATACATTCTTGAAGAGCCGATATTCTTCTTGCTGATCAAGGATTATTACAATATCAGGGTAATCTTGTCATATATTTTTATACCGCCTAGATATCTTTCCAAATGAGATAATTGTCTCTTCGACATAGTGGCATCTCTTTTTGGAAGAGAGTTCAGTTTTCCCCGTCTTTTGCTCCGTTCTCAAGTCCCTGAACTCACGAAGTCTCGTTTCTGTAGTATACCAATTCGTTAACATACCTCTGAGCCAGTTTTTATTAACATAATGACATCGAGCTCTTATTGCAGCCCGTTGTTACTGAATCGGCTGCTTTTTTGTTTTGTACCTAACAATTAAAATTGTTTTCCTGTTGTTGCTGCATCAAAAGCCAAATCACAAGCTTCTGATAAAAAGACGAGCAGTTTTAGTAAGATTTGTAATATGAATACCTTTACGTTTTCCCGATATAAAAGGTGCCATTCGAGGATTCCAGTTCTAGGGCTCATGGCCAAAATGAACCCCAGCTTCCATCATCTCTTCAAAAGTGATGTTCCAATATCTTTTTGTCATTTATCCCCACACTTTTTTAAAAAAAAAAAATTGAAAAAAAATAAAGAGAGACCCAGTATCCTGAAATAGCAATAAATAATTGTTCCGATGGAACCTTCTCTTTTATAGACGATTGGCCGTTAAGATAGAATCAGGCCATTCTTTTATTTCTATTTATTATTATTTTTTATTCTACTTTATTACCAAATCAAATGACTGCATTTAAAGATTTTAAGGGGCTGAGTCGAATCCGCTTTTAGGAACCATTTAATCCTATATTTCTAATAATGTATCACATAAATTCTTTGAAATGATAAAAATCAAAGAATTTTCTGTGATGGAACAAAAGATTTCTAATTTCTACTTCGAATAATTTTTTTTTCCGGGTAATCTTGTTATGTTGCCTTGACCGTGAACGGTGCATTATTCTTTTGAATCCGGTACCAACGGGTATCATCCCCCCTAAAACAACATTCTCTTTAAGACCTTTCAACCAATCAATACGACCCCGAAGAGCGGCTTTTGCTAAAACTCTAGCAGTTTCTTGAAAACTCGCTTCAGATATGAAACTTTGAGTATTCAGAGATGTTTTTGTTATTCCCAATAATAAAGCTCGGTAACAAATGGGTTCTTCCAAGGCACGCCCCATTCGTTCTGCTCGCAATAATCCAATTAGTTCGCCAGGTAAAAATACATTAGACATTCCATCTTCTGAAACCAAGACTTTGGATGTTATTTGACGCACAATAATCTCGATATGTCTATTATGGATATGTACTCCCTGGGATCGATAAACCTTTTGGATTTTATTAACCAAAGAAATACGACTTTGCGCTATAGTTAGCTCAGCACCAATCAAGAATCCCCAAGGCATGCCGAGAATTTTTGTTATACACTCGTTCCAAGCATCAATTCTTTTTTCTAGATTCATGGATATTGAATCAATCGAACGTATTTCTAATATCTGTTCCACTTTTGGAAGACCTTGTGTTATATCACCGGATCTCGATTTTTCATATATGAATGTAACTAAAATATCTCCTTGAGAAAGGATCTCCCCATAATGGCCGTGAATGGTTGCTTCTGGAGTCGCCAAATAAGGATTAGCCAATCTTATTATTACAGAATCCATTTGAACTGTTATAACTTGACCCGATTTTAGTTTTAGGTGTGGTCCATTTTTCATTTTAGCTATACATATATTTTCACAAATCAATTGTCCAAGACTTATTATTGTAAACGTTTTTTCACAATAAAAATGATGGAGAAAAAACCAATTCAAATGGAATGGATTCAAAACAATATTACTGTATAGATCGGGTTTAAAAATTTTCTCATTTTCGTCCATTAAATAATATTTAATTACTTGAAAAATTTCAGTGAATTTGTCAAGTTGCAAATTTTTAATGATTGAGATCTTATTATGATTATTAAATGATAAAGTGAATAAAAATTCGCAACTTGGAACGAATTATTATTATTAATTGAAATTATAGGATCTTTTTTTATTCCATTGTGATATTTTACATTGTTGAATGGTCTCATTTGAAAACAATTAGATGATGACAAAATTATCCAAGATCGGCATTCTTTCTTTTTATTCAACAACATACGAATAGTTCCGTGATTTTGGCTAAGTGATTGTTGAATTTTTCCCTTGGAATGAATAGAAAAAAAGGGATTGATTCGATCCGATTGATTATCCCTGATCAATCCTAAACCAGACGGGTCATTTCTTTTTCTAATATATGAAGTATTAGATTTGACTAAGTCAATTCTTAGAAAATACTCAATCAAACCATTTGTACTTACTTCAATAAAGGAAGCGGGGGCCTCCTCAATAGAAGAACTTTTTTTCCCGTGATCCCAATTGAAGACTAAACAAGTCCGAACTAATTGAATCCTTGTGTCGGAAATTCCCCGAATGGATTTTCCATTTCCATAAAGAATATAATTGACAACTTTTAGTTCCAGATTATCCTTTTCCTGGAATAGATCTTGGGGAAAAAGTTTTACAAAATTGATACTGTCCGGTATTTCATATAAAATTACAGGTCGAACCAAAACAAAATACTTTTTCTTGGTAGTTGCGATCCATTGGACATAAATCCAATTTTTAAATTTTTTTGATTCCTTGCATTTTTTTTTTTTTACCGTTCCGGGCGGTCTCAAGATGGCACTGTGTCGGGATATCTTATCCATCTCTCCGGGAAAATGGATATTTCCAGAAAATATTTTTAATTCTATTTTTTTTTTTTTCTTTTCTAATCGGACCAATCCGCCTACTCGACTTCTTATATTGAAAGTGATTGGTGTTCCTATTCCAACAAGACTATTATTCCGTACCATTAGGGAAGAAGATTCGGGTAAAATATGCACTTCTTCGGGAATAAAAAAAATTTTATCTACTTGAATTTGGTATTTTGGCTTTACTTCTTCGATTCCTTGATACTCACTGAAATCTTCTTTTTGAAAAATAGAATGAATTCCTATAGTTGTATATTTAGTAATTCCTGAACTCTGTCTTATGTATTGAGGATCATTGAAATAAGCAAAAATACTATTTTCATGAAAAATACCATTGATAGGTATTTCAATGGAGACACCGGAAGGGGACATTAGTTCGTTCTTTCGTTCTTGAATCGATTGGAATGGAAATGGAATAAGAAATCTATTTCTTCGCCTTTTCGCCAAGAAATAAAAAGTATCGTTCAAAATAGCAGGATACATTAAATCAGAATGATCTGTACATATGATTTGATTCAATATTGAAGAATCGCTAATCCACTTTTCTTTTGTACCAAAAGTATTGAATTTATGTTTTACTTGATCATTCCTTTCTAAAAGATTCGAAATATTTGTTTTTCCATTAGAAAGTGAATCCATGGTAACTTGATCTTGATCCTTGCGAAGTAAAAAATGGATTGTATTAGACCTGCACGACTTTCCTGACAATATCCATAAATGACTTGTTTTTGGTAAGATATGTACATTACTATATATAAATTGTGATGTATGGTACACATCGGTACTCCAATGCATTTCCCCTTCTGAGTCAGAATAAATATGTTTTTGAACCCTCTCTTTCAAATTTAAAGTAGATGTTCCCGCGCGGATCTCCGCAATCACTTGTTCTGATTTTACATATTGATTATTTTGAACTAATAGAAAACTTTTTGGTGGAATAATGACGTTATGTATAATATCGTCACTTTCAATAGTTACATAGAAGTCTATATTACATATAAAAGCAGGATATCCATGACGTGTCCGTGTAGGGTGAACTAAATCCTCATTAAATTTTATTTTTCCATTCGAGGGGGCTCGCACATATTCAGCAGTACCCCCTGTGAATACTCCACCAGTATGAAAAGTTCTTAATGTTAGTTGAGTTCCCGGTTCTCCAATAGATTGACCAGCAATAATCCCTACAGCTTCTCCCAATTCTACCAGGTCCCCATGAATAGGACTCCGCCCATAACACAATCGGCAGATCCAAGACGTATTCCTACAGGTAAAGGGGGTTCGAATAAATATTGGTTGTGTTTGAAAAGTTATGAATCGATTGATAAGTCCAATTCCAATATCTTGATTTCTAACGACAATGCACCGTGAACCTATATATATATCGTCTGCTACTACACGACCAATTAATGTTTGTATCAAAATTCTTTCTGGCATCATTCCATTTCGGGTGTTTACATAAATCCCACGGATGGTACCGCAATCTGTTCGCCGTACAACAATGTGTTGAACCACTTCAACAAGTCGACGTGTAAGATATCCAGCATCTGATGTTCGTACAGCAGTATCTACAACCCCTTTACGGGCTCCGTAGCAAGAAATTATATATTCTGTTAAAGACAGTCCTTCACGTAAATTGCTTTGAATGGGTAAATCAATCATTTGTCCTTGTGGATCTGACATTAATCCTCTCATTCCGACTAATTGGTGCACTTGAGATGCATTTCCTCTAGCTCCTGAAAAAGACATGATATGGACTGGATTAAAGGGGTCAGTCATCCTAAAATTGGAATTCATTTGTTGTCGCAAATATTCGCTTGTAGCATACCATATTTCAATGGATTGGCGTAATTTTTCTACCGCATGGACATTTCCATAATGATTATGTTTTTCCAAAATGGAACTTTGTTGTTCAGCATCTTGGACTAGCCATCCTTTTGAAGGTATTGTTAAAAGATCATCAATTCCTAATGAAATAGATGTAGCAGTAGCTTGATGGAATCCTAGAGTCTTTACTTGATCTAGGATGTGTGATGTATATGCCATTCCGAAATGATCTATTAATCTGCTAATAAGTCGTTTAATGGCAGTTCCACCTATCACGTTATTGTGAAAGACTAGATCGGCCCGTTCTGCCATAAGTACCTCCATATTCCACTCAGTGTTATTCGGTTCGACAATGGATTTGAGTTAATGATTGGAAAACTTCCTTTTCTTTATGTTTATTCACGTAGAAAATTGAAAAGATGCTAGTTGACCTGAATTTACACCAGTATCATAAATTGACTTAGCGTGGATACCAACACTAACCATTTATATGATTAGATACCATATGAATCGGCTCGAGAAAAACCTTGTATAGCTTCTTCGATTTCTCGATAAAAAGAAATATGACCAATAGTGGTTCGAATGTATATACAACGAATTTCTTTTTTTATACTTCTTATTACTAAATAATCCCCATAAATCTCATAATAGGTACCAAAAGATTCATAGTGAACTTCGATAGGAACTTCTCTTGAAGACATAATGCATTGATCTATTCGCCACCGGAGCCAAAAAGGACTATCGAAATTTATTCTTTTCTGTCTATAAGCTCCAATTGCATCATAGGAATTGCAAAAAAAGGGTTCTTTTTTTTTCATATACTTCAAGTTATTATTGCTAATTTTTTCATTGTGAGAATTTCGGGAATTAAACGAATTATACCTGTTTGCACAAATACCTCGACGATTTCCGCTAGTTAATACGTAAAGTCCAATAAGCATATCTTGAGTTGGTACACAAATGGGATCCCCAATAGCCGGAGACAAGAGATTCGTATGAGAAAACATAAGTAAACGAGCTTCTGCTTGAGCCTCCAAAGATAAAGGCACATGAACAGCCATTTGATCCCCATCAAAGTCTGCATTGAATCCCTTACACACCAATGGATGTAAACAAATAGCACGTCCTTCGACTAAAATGGGTTGAAATGCCTGTATGCCCAATCTATGCAAAGTAGGCGCTCTATTCAGCAATACTGGATGCCCCCGCATAACTTCTTGAAGTATTTCCCATACAATGGGTTCTTTTTCCCGGATTTTCCTCTTAGCAACTCCTATGTTCGAAGCAAAATGGTTTTGAATTAAACCACGAATTAGAAACGTCTGAAATAGCTCTATTGCTATTTCGCGGGGCAATCCACATCGATGTAATGAAAGTGATGGACCTACGACAATAACAGAACGCCCCGAATAATCAACTCGTTTTCCAAGAAGAGTCTCTCGAAATCTTCCCTCTTTGCCCTCAATTATATCGGAAAACGATTTGTAAACTTTATTATTACCGTCCCTCATTGGTTGTCCGCGGATTCCATTATCAAGAAGTGTATCCACGGCTTCTTGTACCAATTTTTCTTGACACATTACTAATTCCTCTGGTGTAGATCTACTTGTTGTTAATAGATCAATAAGAGTATTGTTCCGATAGATAACTCTTCTATAGAGTTCATTAATATCCGAACTCATTAGTTTACCGCCATCTATTTGAATAATTGGTCTCAATTCGGGAGGAAGCACTGGTAAGAGACATAATACCATCCATTCTGGTTCTATATTTGTTCGGATAAAATGCTTAGCTAATTCCATGCGTCGAACCAAAAAATTCTTTCTTCTTCCAACTTTTTGATCTTCCCATTCATTTTCATTGTCAGTGGACCCCTCTTCTCCTAATTCTGTCCATTCTAGCAACGAAGAATCCATAATCATTCTTAAATCCAGATCAACTAATTGTTCTCGTATAGCACCCGCTCCACTAGAAATTTCTCTATTTCGAAATGTATCCAAACCTTGAGTAGCAAAAAAGAGTGGGAGACTGTATCTCCAGGATTGGATTTCATAGTCGAATGAACCTCGTAATCGTAAGAAAGTTGGTTTTTTAACTACGGGCCTAGCAAAAGAAAAATTTGGATAGGATCCAATAAGATGGATCTCCCCCTTTGAAAATCGGACATGAGGGTTTCCTCTCATCCGGCTAAAGTATTTACACACAATTAAAGATAAAGAAAGGGGTTTCCGCTTTCATATTTTTGAAAACCTCTAATCTAAAATATAAAATAAAAAAGGTTTACTCTTGACTCAAGTTATCAATAAAGACCAAGCAACATTTCATTGATACATTCTTCGGTTTTTCTGAATTTTTTATGCAATTCGAAATTCCGACAGAAATAAAATGTAAAATTCTTGAGTAGTCTACCTCCCTTCGAACGAGGAATCCTCTAAAATGAAATTCTTAATAAAAAAGGAATATCTTCGACTTCATAAGAGATTTCTTTGTCTCTGTATCATACCGTTTGATCTTTTAGGTCAAGACGTCACCTCGACGGGTATGCCACGATGTCTTAAAGCCTATATGCGATAGATAAACTTCTGCAATCATGATATATTTTATTCTTTGAACATAATTTTAGTTCTTTTAAAATAAAAAAAAAAAAAAGAGATGGAATAATGAATTCCACAAAAAAGTATTTTTTTTTTCACAAGGTACATACAGTATAAAGAGTTTTTTGTTACTGAATTGACCATAGACCAACTCCCTTATTGGGAGTATTCAATACACCCATGAATTGAATTCTGAGCTTCATGTTACTCATCCCAAGAGACATGCCAGATATAGGACATTCCAATTTAATTGAATGGAATGACAGTTTTTCATTCGAAATCTGTACAATAAGAATTTTTATCAAATCACACATCGCAGTATACTAGACCCTCTAATTCTTTAAGAGGTTTATCTAAAAGGCTCGCGATATAACTAGGAAGACGTTTCAAATACCACACATGGGTTACTGGACATGCTAATTTGATATACCCCATTTGATATCTACGTATCCGAGAATCAACAAATTCTACTCCGCATTGTTCACAAAATTGAGGTTGGTCTTTTTTATCTCCGATTACTCGATAATTTCCACAAGCACAAATCCCACTTTTTATAGGCCCAAAAATTCTTTCACAAAATAATCCATCTTTTTCAGGCTTATTGGTTTTATAATGAAGAGTATAGGGTTTTGTTACCTCCCCAACTGTTTCTCCATTAGGTAGGATTTTTTTTGCCCAAGCACTTATTTGTTCAGAGGAAACTGATCCAATTCGAAGGTGTTGATGTTTATACTGATCAATCATAAAATAAAATTTCGGATTCAGTCCAATTAAACTTCCTTCCTTTGAATCTGAAAGTCTTTCTCAGAGACAAGGAAATGATTCAGTTCCAGAGCCAAAGATCGTAGTTCGCGAACGAGCAATCGAAAAGATTCTGGAGCATCCACAGGTTTCGGTATTGTTCCTCCACTAATTGTAGTTCCAAGTACTTCTTGACGAGCTTTAATATGATCAGATTTATAAGTAAGCATCTCTTGTAAAATATGAGCAACACCGAATCCCTCGAGGGCCCAAACTTCCATTTCGCCTACCCGTTGTCCTCCTTGTTTGGCCCTTCCTTTAAGGGGTTGTTGTGTAACAAGTGCATAAGGTCCACTGGAACGTCCATGTATTTTATCATCAACTTGATGAATTAATTTCAAGATATAAGGCTTTCCTATTATAACGGGCTGTTCAAAAGGATTCCCCGTTCTTCCATCAAATATTCTGCTCTTTCCCGGATACTCGGGTTCAAATATCCATGGATTCGATGTTTCTTTACTGGCCTCATATAATTCAGAAAACACAAGTTTTCTGGAAGCCTCTTGTTCATATCTCTCATCAAAAGGTGCTATTCGATAATGTCTATTTAGCATACTCCCAGCTAATCCGAGCGAACATTCTAATATCTGTCCTACATTCATTCGAGAAGGGACCCCTAATGGATTGAAGACCATATCAACGGGTCTTCCATCTTGCAAATAAGGCATATCCTGTCTAGACAAAATCTTTGAAACGATACCTTTATTTCCATGTCTCCCGGCCACTTTATCACCTACTTTGATTTCACGTTTCTGTGAAATATATATATGAATTGTTTCTGGATTATAGCTAGAATCCGCTTTTTTGTGGAGCCATCTCACATCAATAACTCGGCCCCTACCACCTATAGGTAGTTTTAGACAAGTTTCCTTTGAGGTGGATACCTGAATCCCAAGTATAGCTCGTAATAATCTATCTTCCGGGGCATATGAGGATTCTTTTGCCATTTGAGGCGTTAATTTACCCACTAAAATATCGCCCGTTTCTACCCAAGATCCCAGAATTACAATTCCATTTTTGTCTAAATTTCGGAGTAAATGCGCTTCTAGATGTGGAATTTTATTAGTGATTCTTTCAGGACCATGGCTTGTCACATGAGTCTGAATTTCATATTTCCGTATGTGAAAAGAAGTATAAATATCTTCATAGACCAGACGCTCACTAATGAGTACAGCATCTTCAGAATTGTAACCTTCCCATGGCATATAAGCTACTAATACGTTTTTTCCCAAAGCGAGTTCACCACCAACTGTAGCAGCACCATCTGCTAAAATTTGTCCCTTTTTTACGCATTTACCCTTCTGAACCTGGGATTTTTGATGCATGCAAGTATTTTTGTTGGAACGTTGATATATAATTAATGGAATACTTAGACCATTCCCACTTCCAAATAAAATAATCTTCTCAGTATCATTATAAACGATCTTTCCCTCGTGTTCGGCTATAGCGGGAACTCCCGAATCTAAGGCCACTTGGCGTTCCAATCCAGTTCCAACAATGCACTTTTCGGACCGAGAAAGAGGAACTGCTTGACGTTGCATATTAGAACTCATTAAAGCTCTATTCGCATCATTATGCTCGATAAAAGGAATGAGGGAAGCTCCAATAGAAAAATATTGGAAGGGAAAAATACTTCGAAGATGAACCTGTTCCCATGCAATAGTAAGAAATTCTTGACGGTATCGAGCTGGAACAATCTGCTCCTCCTGAATACCTCGATTCAGTGCTAAAAAATTTCCCGTCGCTACCATATAGTATTCATCTCTACTTGGTGATAAAGAAAGCATTCGTATTCTTTTTGATCTCTCAGAAATTTCATAAAATGGACTTTCTATAGACCCCCAACGACCAATCCTTGCGTGAATTGCCAAGGATCCAATAAGTCCGACATTGATTCCTTCAGAGGTGTCAATTGGACAAATGCGTCCA